ACTACAAACCTTTGAATGCAAGAACTGAACCTATAGCTGGAGTAATGCCCAACCTTGACACTAAGTTACATCATGCGAGACACAAGAAGCATTACGGACTTTTTGACTTTAGCAAAAGCTTCTGGCAGTTGCCACTAGAAAAATCAAGTCAAGAAATTCTGTCCTATGCTACCGATGAAGGGATTTTTACTCCAACTCGAGTCCCGCAAGGCAGTTGCGACTCTGCTTTGCATTTCCAAGCCACGATGGAAAATTGTTTTTCTAAATTGCTCTACAAGTCTCTGCTGATTTGGATAGATGATCTACTACTATTTGCAGACACAATTGAGCAGAATTTGGCAGTTTTGGACAAGTTGTTCGGAACTATGGCTCATTATGGATTGAAGTTCAGTGCAACCAAGACGAAGCTTTACCAACAGTCTGTTACGTGGTTCGGGAAGGCAATTTCGGAGAATGGCATCTCGCATGACCCAAACCGTGTTGCTGCTCTGTCTAGTATGCCTCCACCAACAACTGCAGGTTAACTTCAGCAATTTATTTGCGCTTCCAACTGGATGCGCGATAGTTTGGTCGATTACGCTCGTACTATACAGCCACTGCAGAAGTGTTCGGATCGAGCTCTGGAAGGGAAACGCAAGACCAAGCGAATTGCGTCTGGGATCTCGCTCCAACTGAGCAAGAACAAACTAATAAGTTTCGACCAAGTGAAGATGCTGCTGACTAATACAACCATGCTGGCTCACCCCAAGGACAATGCGACTTTTTCTCTGTTCTGGGATGCATCTGATGTTGGCTGGTCGGCTATTTTGACTCAAGTTGAGTCCTGGGATCAAGCCAAAAGCGTCACTGAGCAGAAGCATGCGCTTTTGACTTGCAAAGGAGGAACATTTATTGACGCACAGCTACACTGGTCCGTTACTGAGAAAGAGGCTTATCCTATAGTTTCTGCCTGTGATGACCTCTACTATTTGCTGTTGCGGCCTGATGGCTTCAAGATGTTCTGTGATCATCGCAATTTGATTTACATGTTCGTTCCCGATCCAGAATTGAAGAAGCATGTGAGGGGTAAACTGTTACGGTGGGCACTTAAACTGGGTGAATACCGGTATACAATCGTTCACATCGCAGGTGAGGAGAATGTCTGGGCGGATTTAGTTTCACGTTGGGGCGGGATGAAACCAGTGACGGTCACACGGTTCGAGAGAGTGACTCGACTGCAAACTACGTTGAATCGACAGCCACTACTGAGACCCCTTGATCAAGACTCGTTCATCTGGCCTACCATGACTGAGATAGCTGCTGTACAGAGAGCACATTCTCACGACAAGCCTAACGATGGTACAGAAGGCAGTAGTGGTATATACAGATCCAAAGGAAAAATTTGGATTCCTCCAGCGGCAAGCGACCTTATACAAAGACTATTCATTGTCTCTCACTGTGGATTGCAAGGTCATCGTGGAGAGGCAGTAATGCTGAACCACATCAAGAGAATCTTTAATTTCAAGGACATGGTGCATAGAGCAAGACGGTTTTTGAGGAGCTGTCTACTTTGTCATCATGTAAAAGGTGGGGGAGTGATACCACGTCCGTGGGGGCCTCTCTATCGTGCAGCCAAACGAAACGAAGCTGTCAACTGGGATTTCTTGTTTTTGGGTGAAAGTTTCGGGATCAGTAAATACGTGCTCATTATAAAAGACAACTTCAGTCATTTCTGCGAGTTGGTGCCCTGTGACTCACCGGTTAGTGCAGTCGCTGCAGAAGCGATGCTATGGTGGCATAGCCGTTTCGGAGTACCTACGACATGGATCAGTGACAGTGCTAGACACTTTAATAGTGAAGTACTGGCCCTACTCAGTAAGGCGATGAAGGCCAAGCAGGACTTCGT